TCCAAGTTAAACATCCTACTGGCCTCCTGTTCTCCAAACATATTGTGYTGTCTACACATTTATCAGCCTCTCCTATCAGTGCTGTTTACTATGCAGTGTTCTGCAGCATGGCCTTCCTGAATTCAATGACAGTCCTTTCACATCCAAGCAATGCTTCTGCAATCTCTGTGATAGCAGGTGTGCAATGAATCAAGCTGATCAACAAAAACTGACCTCTCGTCTCTCTGTTTGTCCTTCCACAGGCAGCATCCCTGAATTCTGACAAGCAGCGCAGAAATGGGAATTGCTACCATAACATCAAAAGGAATTTTCAAGGGCATCAGATTCCAGGTTTTGATTTGGCAGAGGAAATTCCAGTGTAAGTGCTGGAACACCAGAAGCAGCTTCTGCTGGAAACTTACATATGCCCTTTAATTAATAATCTCATATTTAATACTAAAAAAATTCCATATATCACACAGAAATAGGTTAGGAAGAAATCAATACTCATCTCACATACAGCAACATCATAACAACCCAAGAGGACAAACAGGAGAATCTAAAAGGAGGCAAAGGCAACAGAAGGAACAAAGTACCACTGATATGGCATTTTGTTGGAAAAAGATTTTGGTGCATTTCCAATTTTTGAGTAAGAGATAAAAAGCATCTTGTGCTCTTCTAAGTAGAACATCTGCCTGTTTCAGTACTTTCAAATACTAATATACATCTTGCACAGGCATTAATTCTAGAGATAATATATCTTTTAATTAAAAAGTGCAATTTTTTAAAAAATGGGTGACTGATACCCTACAGCATCTGTGTAGTTCCATAAATTATCTTCCAAAATCTAATATTTTTTTACAATCTACATATTGATTTTTAAAATCTAATGTCTATACATGATTATTTCTCGTTGTAAAGAGTTTAGTCCCAACTGATAAGAGTATTAATTCTAAAATGCCACTGAATATTATGAGTTCACATCACCTGTATCAGGTTTATAGTGTTGGGAGCTTTGCTTTCCTGCTCCACATTTCTTTTCTTTCCACTAACTAAATTTCAAAGTAACTAAAACTGTTGTCTGTGCTGAACTATTACAATGAAAATATAATTGACTACTCATCATTTAGAGCTATGTCTATCATGCATGGCAACTGACAGATCAGCTCTGCAAGGAGCAGACCATCTTCTGAACCCTGAAAAGCAAAGTAAGGAATTCCTTAACAGTACCTTACCAGTTACTCCTGTGTAGGCAGAGAAAAACATCTGAAACTAATACACAGCTACTGTTACTGCATTTGGGACTAAATACACTTTACACTCAACGCATGCTTCCTCTTCAATACCACTTCTTTAGATAAAAGCTTATTTAAATAATTGCTTTTGAMTTGAAACCAACCGGAAGCATTAAGGCTTTACATGAGCACATGTATATTTTATTTTTACAAAACAATTGTCATTAGCTGAGCAGTTACACTTACCATACTACAATTTCTTTTTACAATACCTTCTCCACCCACTAAATATATCTTCCCAAATACTTCTAGCATTTCAGACTTTCCATCAGCAGCTTCCTTCAATAAAGATAATTTCTTTTGCTTTCTTTTGCTTTCTTTTGCTTTCTTTCCTCCTCCAAACAAACATAAATAGATGTTTCACAAAATCAAATCACATTCTGGTGGAGAGACTACAGAGAAGAGGAGCAGGCTACCAGAGATGTCACAGCCACTGAGGAGAGATTGAAAAAGCTTGGACAGTGGTAGGAAGAGGAGCTCTCAGCTTTAAACATCATATGTAATGGTTTAGAAGATTTTTCCTCTGTTCAGGATGAGCTAGAGATAAGGTAACTCAGTAAAACTTATTCTCCAGCACAATTAGGAGCTCTTCTAGGCTACACAGACTCTTCAAATGAGACAACAAAAAGCAGCCTCATCCTTCCCCTACACATTGCTTTTGCTGCCTTTATGTAGGAGAGGCAAGCACTGGAYTAACATTAACATATGCCAGTCTCTGCATGTGGGAGAAATAATTTCCAGGAGATGCTGTCTCAACTCTGGCCAGCAATGGGTGGGTGTGCTTCACATTCACAGTAAGCACTGCATCTGACCATAAAATGGCACATACCTTGTTTTTAGTTTAGCRTAGACTTTAGACAAAAATGAATTAAAATAAACTTATCCTTCAAAATCAAACTGGTTTTTAAAGAACATGACAGGACATGCATACTGCTAACTTCATCAGAGATTAATACTGCTCAAAGACCTAACTATAAAAGGTTTTGCTGAAAATTCAGTCACTTAAGTCTTCAAGAAAAAGTAAACTGAGATGAGAAAACATTCACAGATAAAAATTATTAATAATTAAGRAATCAGCAGAGAGTAACATAGCGACAGAAGATGCAGATCAACCAGAATGGCTGTATAAAAAAAAAAAAACAACAAAACAAATAAACAAATAACCCCTGCCTGCCTCCTGTGCCCCCCAAAAAAATCCCAAACAAAAATGTAACAAAAAATGTCATTATTTTAGGATATAAAAATTATTCCAATTTTTCTTTTTCTTTTAAATAAGGAAAAATCCTCAGGCACAAGACTGATAAAATTTATGATTTGACAAGGCAAGAAGTAAACCGGCAAGCAGTAGAGAATCTGACATCATGCCTACATTTGCAATCAAGAGGTGAGCATGACTCTTCAGGCTCACAGTCCACTCGTCTTCACAAGTTYCATAAAGTGTGAGCATCAGCTACCTATCAACAAAATTACTCTGAGCTGACACATCAGAATGCATTTCTTATTCTGAAATACAGCCAAAAAAAACTAGATTGCCCCAAAGGTGACCAAACAGATAGGTTTTTCTGTTCTCAGAGACAGAGATGAACTTCRCTAACTGAGCCACTGAGGATTTAACTGCAGCACACAGAAATCCGCTTTTCACATTTTCCTACTTACAGGRAAAGTCACCACACAAATAATTGCCAGCAATATGAGTTAAAAAGACTTATTTTTGTGTAAGGTCAGATCCAATATCTGGCTATCCCTTAACTGAACAATATAATAAGCCCTTGYACAGGTGACCCAGTTCATGGGACATTATTTGAGTTTCAAATAAACAAAGGCCAATTCTGTCACTTTMAGCTTAGTCTCCCTTTTTGTTTAACAGGCAACTGCATTATTATTGTTAGCTGTGTGTAATCACGCATATCTCAAATGCTCATACTACCAAAGCAAGATATGATGTTTTTGAAGTACAGGACAGTGACTGATTTGACAATAAATGTGCCAGTCTAGCTCACCTCAGCTAAAGACTATCTTCAAACAGTAGCCTGTAAAGAATACCTGACTTGYAACACATGCTGATTTTTATTTGTGGGATGGGCACCCACTGCTTACTGTTCTTGGAAAGCTCCAACTGAACTACCACAGCTATATTAGAGAAGAATACTGGCACACAACTTAAATTGGAAAGGTATCTTGTGATTAAATGCTGCATCCAWATCACATGTCAGCTTTTTCTTTTTTAAAACCATGATACAAACTGAAGCTGATATTTGCCTTGCTATGATAAACATCACAGAAGCATATTCATCCCCATTACTTAACAACAGAACCTATAAACTCCTGCTGATTTCTTTATCCSTTTCTAAAGCACAATTTAAAATCCTACACTGCAGATAAGGGTGCACTGCTCACAAGATTAAAGTCAAGGTCACATATTGCACATACGCTGCTGCCTGTGAAACAGAGATCTGTTTCACAGACTCCACATATATTTTTAGAAAGGGCTGCTCTAGTCATCAGCTAACAGCCTCTGAATTACAGAAGTGAAGATAAACTTTGGCTTAAACGGGAAAATTTAAGGCTTCTGTGCCAAAACAGACAGACYCCCACTGATTCAAGGAAGTAAAGCAGTTCTTTTTATCTCTTCACACAACCTGAAGGGKAAATCCCCAACATACTTAGTATGAACCTTACTTTCCTTTTGATGGAGCCAAGAGTGAAACTCCCCAAGACTTTGATAAAACCACAGGTRGACCACCTTTGAAAAAACCTGGCTTCACAGTATGCCTGGTAGCTGGTGTTCCCTCCAGACATCTGTTGCAGCTTCTGCTACAGGCACCTGTGCAACTATTCAATCTGTGGCAAGCTASCACAGAAGCACCAGCACCATATAAGCAAAGATTTCTGCCTTCCCCAGACAAAACCATTTGCACAAGATGTCCTACATGGATGCCACAAAATACTAGCAATCAAGAAGTGAATATATTGATATGCAATAATTATTACCACATGATGCTCACAAAAAAAACGCCGGCACTTGCAAAATCGAACATAAGGCTTAATTCATGGTTGTCTAGACAGGGACTCAAAAAACTCTGTTCGCATAAAAAGTGAGCAYAAAATCTGGATTTTTAACCAGCCTTAATGATGGAAAGATCTTTAAGGCATGCCCCAAATAAAAAGGGCACAGACTGAGAGAGTTGGGGCTGTTAAGCCTGGGGAATAGAAGGTTCTAGGGAGACTTTGTAGCACCCTCCAGTACCTATACAGGGCTAACAGGAGGGCTGGCATATACTGATAGGACAAGGGRGAATGGCTTCAGACTGAGAGAGGTTAAGTATTTGGAAGAAATTCTTTACCATAAGGGCAGTGAGGCACTGACACAGGTTGCTCAGAGAGGTTGTGGATTCTCTCCTACCTCTGGAGGTATTCAGGGACAGGATGGACAGGGCTTTGAGCAACCTGGTCTAGTAGAAAATGTACCTGTCCACAGCACGGGAGTTGGAACTAGATGAACTTTAAGGTTCCTTCCAGCTCAAACAGTTCTATGACTCTGTGATTACTGTTAATTCCCTATAATAGCACTTGTTCTCTTCTGCCCAGTGGAACTAGTTAAGATTGCTCTTTATTAGCAGGGATAAAACTGCAGCAGCTTTGTGCTGTAGGGAGACACACAAAAGAGATCAAGCCCATGAAAAGGTACAAGTTCCTATAGCGAATCACTGTATGATCAGGACTTACCCAGAGAACTGTTCCAAGGCCACCAGAGATGTAAAACTTCTACCTCATCCTGCAACCTGCATGTTCTGATAGGCCACTAAAAATCCGTGAGCAGCTAAATGCTAATTTTTCGTAAGTCACAGGAAGAAGGTTCCTTTAGTCACTATTGCTGCCACCAAGCCTGTACATTAGCCATCTTTCCTTTGCCTTCTTTCTACAAGGCAACAAAATTGAGAGCTTTAAAACACTTTTTATTACATCAACTTCAGTGTATCGAGACCTTCAGCAAGTAGGGATACATGGCTAAATAAAAGGAGGCCAATAAATAAATAAAAGCAGTGCGCTTCTCATCCATACTTCTGCTTTCAGCTTTTCAGTTCCTGGAGTCTGTCCTGAACTATGTCCAATTAGCCAGAGAGAGAGACCAAGAGACATGTTAGGCAGAGGACATTTGGCCTAGGAATCTGTCTCTGGACACCCTTCATTTGGCACTGTTGGTGCTACTTGAAGGCAAAGTTCTTGACCTGATGAGATGTCAGTGTTTTTCAAAGAATCCCAGACAGGACACCATGGGCATGTACAACAATCAGGGATGMTGAGTTTCCTCACATTGGTGACAATCTTCCAAGACAAATGGATGACAATTTATGAATCAAATAACATRTCAAAATTCCAAAGAGGAAAACAAAGAGCAGAGGGAATTTGCAACATAGGTCATTTTACCACAGATGATTACATTATTTCAATTAGCTAGTATTATTGAAGATTCTATTGTATGCTTGTATTTTTTTATCTTCTTCTGGAAATATTCTAAATTATCTACATCTCATTTTAGCAGGCTGCTAAAGGTAGCAGTAGACTACATTAGCCAAAACATTTTCAAATGGAAGAAATGCCTAATGCTCTGCCTTTGCAGTAACCTCCCTTTGGGAACCCCACTAATCCACCAGACATCATTCATYAGCAGATGCAGTTTATCCCAAAACTGGAGAGCCTCTGAGAAACAAACCTGATTTTTAGGAGTTTTGAAGGCTCATCTGCTTAAAGGCCTAAACAACGTTTCAGTATTTAAGCCTGAATTTTAGACAAGAAACTTCTTGTGGTCAAACTTTCACTGATGCAACTACAGTACCTAATATCAGACTAGCTTACTGAATCTTAAAGTTCTTCAGAGTGCTGCTTAATCTCTTTTACATTCCTCTAGAGGCAAAGTTTCCATTGAAACTAAACACCTGTGTGAGAGAGCCTGCCCTAGTATTCAATCACCAAAATTCAGAGAAATTACAAATAAAAAGGAGCAGTAACATGAAACTCTCAAGAGAAAGAGTGGCTTAAATAAGAGTTTTAAGGTATCCAAACTGATGCTATTTACTTCACTCTCTACCTAGGTTTTTTTGCCCTAAGAATTTTGAAGTGCCAATATTAATACTTCTTTAAACAAGACAAATTACTGCCATATAACCATCACGATTAGATTTGAAATAGTAAGCACAAGGGCGGTAAATACCTAGGAGTGGAAAAACCGATATAATTTGAAAAAGTAGTTTAGAAACACCTATCTAACTACAAGTTTTCACTAGAAATGGGCTGGTT